GTCTTTTACTCAAAAAAGCTGTGTGCTTGTACCCTTTTCTGGAGGGGCAGTTAGTGGCGAGAGATCTGCTCCCGCAGGCACAGCAGCATCCCGAGCGGAAGGAGGCTGTCGCCCTCATGCACCCTGGCTAGTGAGCAGTCCTGATTTTGGCAGACCAAACCTTCCCTTTTTCACAAAGCCTTTAAAAAAAAGCTGATAGTATTGATCACATCCTTTCCCCCCCCCCCCCAATGATGTAATAGAATATATCTAAGATGCCATACTACTTGGCGGTTTATTACAAGAGATTATTCCGAGTAACTGGAAACCACTCCTGTTAATTATGCTGCTCTCTCATGTAGAGCTACACAGAGAATGCGCATGGCTTATGTGAAGGAGTGGAAGCATTAATTGATACACTTTCTTGTGGTAGGACTGAGTCTTAATTTATACATATCAGTCATTGATGATGAAAGGAAAGCACCTTGCCTAGGACAGCTGCCAAACACAACTATTTTCTAGTAGGTATGAGTTAGCACGCAACAGGAGATTCATGACTTCCAGACCGTTAAGGTACTCCTGACCTGTTAATACCCTTCATATTATCTCACACTTGTTCTCTTCCTATCCCGTCTCATGTCAGTGAGGTATGGGAAGCCACTGAGATTTGTTTGTGTACAAGAAATGCAAGGTCAGGACCGTAACTGATTTACAGCATCCTTGGACACAGTACTCTGAGCTGCTCAGATGTGCACAGGATGAACAAGGTCAGCAAAATGAAGTGTCTTCTGCTAGCTCAGAAAACTTGCTGCTTTTAAGCTCGCTCAGACTTTTACAAGAGCTAACTGCCAGCTCCATTTGCAATGTGGGACTAAAAATGTGGATTAAAATGTAATTAATTCTTTACAGTCAGACATCTTGAAACGTGATGAAAATTGTAGTTAGTTTATATGTGTTGTCCCTTAAACAAGACAGACGCCTCACTTCAGTTCTGCCATTCAATCCAATGCTGCTCTTTCTGCCTGCTCTGCATTTTTATCTTACGTTTTCCTTCCTCCATGTCTCACCTTTTCAAAGTTAGTCTGAAAAAGAAATGATCATTACTTACGATAATTTCTATACAGAGGATTTACGTGCACTTCTATCAAGTTCTATCCATTATATTATATCATTATATAGATACAAATATTATTCATATTTCTACACTGAATGCTGGAGCTTCTCTCAAATCCAGATAATGTCTTTCTCAGAAAATGACTGTCAAAGAGTAACCTCTTATCCTCTTAAAATTACTGTTCTACTGATGTTAATAAATGTCACACATAGTATACTTACTAAGAGTAGTCATTACACACATACTGAGAAGTAATTGTACGTGCATTTCATTTTGCAGGTGTTTCTACTGATGATTTACAAGTCTGAAGACAAATAGTAGTCAGAACATCAACATTTCTGTACACAGAACACAGTATTTTCACCTAAACATTTAACAGCATTTTAAAGAAAATTGGGACATTTAGTAGAAAAACCTTAATGACTAAATTTTTATCAGTAAAACTGGCATGAATATATTTTGATGAGGTTATAACTTTAAACAGTTATACTTTCTTCTTTGAAATCAATATTGAAAAACTATATTGTAATTGTAGCCATACAAAATGTTTATTATATTACAAATTATTTGTACACTATATTTTCACTTGATCATGGTTTTGTGCTCAGACAGTATAAATATTACAGCATGATTTTTCTTTCCTAGGAATGCCCTTACTGTCTTGATATAATCTTAATTCATACTTAAAAAAAAATACAGAAACATATTACAAACAGATAAAAATCCATTAGGAATTAAGAATGTAAAATGTATTTGTGAATAAAGTGCACCACAATGGTTTTAGAGTGACGGCTGAGGGAATATTCAATAGATTGCATATCATCAGTACAATACCAACAAAAATTAATTTTGAAAGTCTAACAGGTCTTCCTCAGTAGTATGAAGAGTACTTTGTTTAACTTTACTGAAATGGTTTGTCTTTCTAGAAGGCTATTTAAACATTTTTATTTGTTTTTTTCTATTTGTTCAATTTGTTTGCATGTAGGCATTACAACCCTCTACATCTACATAATTTCCAAACTTTTTAATTTCCAGTATGGCAAGATATATGTGGCTTTATCCCCACACATTTTTTGATAGGACTACTAAATCACTTAAATTTAAGAATTGGTACAGATTTACAAGCAGAACTAAGTGTCCCAAAGATGCTGTTTAAATCTGGTACGTCCTACCTCCCGTGACTCTTTCGGGAACACGTCGTAACATTACCCTCCCCAGCTATATTGCTTCAGCACTCCCATCCACGCGACTGCTGTTGCTTCCAGACTTGCAGCTTTACGATAACTCTGCAAAACTGGAGTCTAAGATACAGAAATTTCTTTCACAGCACATTTCACTCCCATTGCCCAGAAGGGCTTATCGACTTGCGAAATCTCACCGGGCTGAATAGAGGAATCATTAAAAAAAATGAGGTAATAAAGATGATGAAAAATGTGGCTGGCACAATTTAGTGTAGATTTCACTTACTAAGTTAGCTTAAGCCAGTTATGAACCAGCTTAGGCTAAATAAAAGTAAGCCACTCGTCAATTTTGTCTGCACTTATGTTACAGTGATTTAAATGCCTGAAAAATAAGCAGAATATTCTTCAAGGGATTCTAGTGAAACTTGCACGTATAGCAAATCCTAATGGAGAAACTCAGCCTTGCCCTCAGGGAGTGAAGTTCCCACTGAAGCCAACAAGAACTAGTCTTTTTATGGCACGCTGAGTTTGGCGCAGTATTTTTCAGTTGTTATTTTAAAGTGTGATACTCTTAGGCAGCTATTCATTCAACACAAAACCACATTTGGATGTACTGTATTACGCTGAGAAGGTCAGTATTAGTTAGCTGACAGGTAACTGAGACAGCAGTCTGTCTTTACTAGACTTCTATTTATATGAAAGATTGAGTTTCTTTGGTTGTTTAGTATCCAAGTCACCCAAATGTATATTTGTGTACTCTAGACATAGCATGTTTATACTGATCATTAAAATTACTAGGGTTTTTTTTTTTCTTTTTTTTTTGCACTTGCTTTATGGAAATTTTCTGACTGTAGCAGACTAGACACATATAAATATACAGCACATATATACATAGAAATTACAAAAATACATTTTATTTATATCTGATTTTAAATAATAAAAATGAAATTTCACATTTGTTGAAAGATTAGTTAGCATTCCAAAAGTTTCTGCAATATTTGCGGTATTGGAGCAGAAGATATATGTATATTGCAGGATAACTATGTATCACAACCTCAGTCAGGGTTTATAATATAATTATTTGGGGAAAAAATAGCTCTGCTTTAGAAGTTTGTGCTTCATCAATTTCTTTTTCTATCCCCTATTCTAGTCTCCACTCTCCTTCTCCTCTCATTTTATTGATGGCCAAAAAGCTAAACCAAGTTCCCTTTCTCACCTCAGTAAAGACCAAAGAAACTCCGGGAAATGAAATGATCAGACAAAATAGCATAAGCAGTTGAGGATAACCAAATAACTTACTGAAATGAAGGACATTACCTTTAACTCCAGTTGACATCAAACATGCCCAACACAATGTATTTTGCAACAACATCAGTTCCCGAAGCTAATCGCCGAAGGAAGTGAAAACAATTGTTCATGATCTCCAACTGTTTTGTACAACTGCAAAAGATGAACTATTGTCCCATTGAACTGGTTTGATTTTCTTTTGGGATTGGATTCATACAACAATGCAGTTTAACAATTAGTGACCTTTAACTTGCACAATATAAAGTCAGCATAATTTCTGGAAATGCTCTCTTTTTCACAGAACATTAGTATTTTTGTTAATCCATGTAATCATTTACTTATTTACATGTTAATATAATAATCATGTCCTCTACATTCAGAAGTCCCTAGGTGTGCATTCACTATTCCAGCGTAACTAAAATCAACTGCAGCTTCAGGTAGCACTTCCTGGCATCACTTTAGTAGATATCATCGTTTTAAAAAGAGAAAAAAGCACTGTGTTAAACAGATAGTTTTCTTGTCCGAGCAGGTGTATTCATTATTCCAGGTTGGAAAGACTTACTCAAAGGTCTCAAGTTTACCAGCTTCACATGCATTCAGAGTCAAAAGCCTGAATATAAACCAAATGTGAATAACTTTTTTTCATTTCTCCTGGAAGCTTCTAGCACCGATACCCTTTGTTGGCTCTTCGTGCATTGTATTCTCTCACACTGAAAAAAATCTCCTCCATAACTCATCAGTGGCATTCAGGGACAAGGCAGACACCAATTATCAAAATGTCATTAACGTTCTTCAGATTCTTCTCTTCTTTCACCTCTTTGTACTGTTAATAGGATGAGGATAATTGGGATTATTTACAAGACATTTATTTGTATTACTTACTTATCTCAAATTCTTTTGGCTTGGATATGGTCTCTAGAATGAAAAGGCTGAATGACTCTGCATTGCTGAAATCAGCATCCCTTAGACAACGTCCTGCAGCAAACAATTAACATGGCCACCACCACACCTACCGTGTCCTTTCACTAACCATGTTCTACTGTATTTTCTTCCTTAATCAAAGTTTTGACATGCAGAAGTTATTTTACAGCAGCTCTACCTTTGAGCCTGCAAATGAAATATCATGTGGCACAGACATGTTCAGCGGCATCCGTAGTGGTGGTGGGTCGCAATGCGAGAACTAGGCGACAAGCCATTGTGTATGATCAATCTTATCCATATTAAACAGTTACCTGGCAGCATTTCCTTAGCAGGCAAGCAGAATTACATATCTTCAGAGTCCTGCTGCTCTACTTCAAGTAATTTCATAGTGTTGACTTTTCAGACAAAGAAAAATGCCATCACTTTAGCACAACTCACAGCAAGTTTGTAACTGAAAATTAGAGTCACTTTCTTGGCTACGCCAGGTTGCATGATACAAGTATTATGCACCAAACATATTAGACCTGGAACTCAAACATATCTGTTTGCTTCTTGGCCAGTTTAGCAACTTCTTCTCTTATCGCCTTTACGAGGGCAGCTGTAGAAATGTTGGTGAGAGGAGCATCGGACGGGTCATTTTCTGTCAGGCTCTGCTGAGAAGCTGCGGTGGATGGCAAAGGAGCTTGTTCCAGGCTGGGATGCATGCTCGCTTGCTGGCTGTATTGGCGAGGAAGTCGCGAAGGGGAATTATGTTGGTAGCGGGGCCTTGGATAAGCCTCGATGTATCCAGGTAGTGGAACCTGTAGAGCGTTGTAATTGCACAGAATTACACCGAACAGTTGAGCCGCAGTGCCACCTGCCAGGTAACACAAACCTCCCCGGGGCAGAACAAGATGTAACAGATAGGACCATATGAAGAGAACATAAACCTCCTACTCCTAAGCGTCCATTTACAACTATCTTGGCACGTGCCGTTTATGCACACGTGTCAACGTACCGGGTACTCAACTCCTCAGACGGCGGCAGCAAAAACACCTAGCAGGGGAAACACTGCATGTCCTAATTTACCAGCACCACAAAAAGTCAAAGGGAGACGGCTTTTCTGAAAGTGTGTTCTCTGCTTACTATTCCTCCTCAGTTTTAAACAGGCAGCACCACTACATTTCAGGACACCGAAAAGCCTAAAACAGAAAAGTAGAGTTTGCTGATTTGCAGCCCCTGTCTAATCCAAGTCAGCCAAGTCTCTGGACTTACTGTTCCTAACCAAAACAACACGGATAAGCTCAGGTATGCCAACCTGGAAACTCAACGCTGAAAAGGAAGTTTGACTTCTCAGAAGTATCAGGATTTCTGGCCACATTTAACAGAAATACATAGGGGATTCACAATTTTACTCTGTTGTAACTTCACTGATTTCAGCCCCGCATTATACTGGCTAAAGCTAAAATAATAACGTAGGCCCTGTAGTCCCTGTGGGATATTAAATTTCCTTCATGAATCTATGAACCACAATACCAGTCTTTACAGTCCTCAGAAGTTTTTAACGCATCAAATAAAAATAGGACCTATTTCCGTTTTGCAAAAGTCTATACAACAGGAATCCCCAGCCCTTCATTTTGAAGAAGGCTTTATGTTGTTACAGAAGGCAACCTGTAACCTATTACTGGGACAAGATAATCTCTCCTTACCACCTGATCATTCTAGTCCACGCCAACGACAAGTAAGGAAGGTTCAGTGATGCTTTTTTATGAACTGAATGACTCAGAAAACTAAACTTACCTACACTATACCGATAATACTACACTTACAAGTTAACTGATAAGCTTCCACAATGTTTAATCTCTAAAAAGTTAACTTTGTAATTCTTTTTGCTTTAAATGGGAAAAACACATGGTTTTGACTTTCCAAATATATTAAGGTCTTATATAAGCATATAATACAGGCAGCCAGGCAGATGTCTCAGCTAATTTTTGGATTTGAGTCAGGCTGAGGTATAAGGTGCTTCACCCACAAGGGCTAAGGCTTTGGCAGCTATGGCAGAAGCAGAATTTCAGAATTTGAGGTGTCTGCAAGCAGAGTGAAATGTCGAGCTGTGAAACACCTGCTAGTTCTTTACACCTTCTGGGAAACGTGGGATCTCAGCATGGACTTCAGAATGACAGCTTTAGAATTTTGCTTAAACCCCATTTTGCTCTGGCCCTGTGAGAATTTAACAACCCCTTGGGTGCTTTTGAAAATCTTGCCGCTTCATCCATCTAAGAACCTAGGAAAGCCGGACCGCTAGGATTTACGCATGCTCTATACGATCCTGGCTATCCATCGAGCGATGAAAAGAATGTCAAACACTTTCAGTATGGTGTGATGAGACAAACATAGGAAGCAGGCATGATATGAAAGTGATCATTAAATGCAGTTGCCTCTAGTTCACAACAGATTGCTCAAAAGCCAAACATTTTAGTAGCACAACATGTGAATGTGCCACTAGAGGCCACCAGGTTACTACTTTCACTAAGCATCTAGCAATTTGGAAAATAAATGCTTTGCTGGATACAGTTCCCTTCTCCCACAAAACTTTGCGCTTCAGTATTTACCTTTTAACTGAGAAAATAGTACATTACAGTAAATTGAGCTTATAAGATAATTCTTTGTTGTCAAATCTCCTGTTTCCCATGTCCCCTTGTTTACAGTCCAGCTAGTGGAAATGCATGAAAAGTAAAGGATTTCATTTTTCACCTTATAGATATTAAGCCTTTTCTTCTTACTGTCAAGAAAACCTTGGAAGTGGGATCAAGCTATAATCTAGAGGCTCAGAAACCAGAAAGCATCCAGAAACTCAAACTCTGAGTATTATTTTACATCTTTATTTTTTTGCAGTTTTATTCAGGCTTTCTGACCATATTTTGTTGCTAACATTATTACTAGTTCCCCTAGTAACAATTTTCAAATAAAGACAATTTCTTGACATATTTGCAGTCATTGGGACGTGCAAATTTATTGCTGAAACCGAGGTGGTTTGGTTTTACATTTTTCCTCTTCTCCTGCAAAGTCACAGGAGGGCTGAAAGTCTGAGTAATAAGAAGGAATATTTGTTTCCTTTGAATTTGATATTGCCACAGTTATTTTTCAGACAGCTTCTTGCATCCCTCTCCATTCTTCTGTGTACAGTCTACCAGCACTAACTGCTTTTCCCACCTCTTTCCCTGGAGACAGGGAAACCCTCAACAGCGTTACACTCTTCTCCTTCCAGAGGACGGAACTGGGGGCTGGAGGCTTGTGTTCCAGTTCTGTCCAGTTTATTTGCAGTCTCCCCTTTTGACAAGTGATATCTGACTCTTTTTTCATGGGACTGCAGCCAAGGAGTAGGGATACAAAAGGGAAAAAGAATGGAAGACCAGTAAAATACTTTTCCTGGTTTGTTTTGGTTTTCTTTTTCTTCTTCTTAAAGAAAAAGTTTAAAAGATTGCTTAGACTCAAGGGGCCTCCTGGATTTAAAATGTCAGTAGAGTTAAAGAAAACAACAATAACAAAATAAACAAATAAATAAAACAATGAAAAGAAAAAGGGTTTCCATGCTTTAAAGGACAGCTCTGGGAAGGGAACCTGTACGATGGCATCAAAAGCCTCCAGGTGTCAGGGGCACATCAACAGTTGTGCTCAGCTTACAGATGAACATACTTCTTTTTTCTTGACAATTCAGCCTACAAATTCAGACTTGCACCTCACATTCAAACGGAATTCTTTTCCTCGCAGGCATCAGGAGCAGTAATAAAGATTTGGTGAGAAATGGCCGCCCTCGGGAACATTTACATGACCATGTTGTCTCTTGCTGCTCAAAGACTCCAACTGTTAGACTTCAACTGTAATTCACTAAAATATTCCATTGATGATATGCACAAGGAAATAGAATTCAGTTTGTTTAGCTGAACTGGTTCTGCATAAATACCAGATGTAAGCTCAAGCAGCAGAATTGATCTTTTTTTTTCCCCCTCAGTGGAAAAAAAGCCCTAAATTTTAGAAATTGTTTCAAACATGATACACTACTGCAATTCATTTAAGGATGTCTCAACTTTACTTCTTTGAAATACTTTGGGCTAAAAATTACATCTGTCCCAGACTAGGATGTAAATTGTGCATTTAATTATTTAATTTATGATCTGTCACTGCAGCCTGCAATGGGACTTGAAGCACCGCGTAGCAGGGCTGCGGCACAGCCGGGAGCTAGGTTCGGGAGCTGGGCTGTCTTTAGAGAAGTATCCAGGAGGGAAAGATGCTTCCCACCTTCCAAACAGCACAAGGCCACCTTGGGAGGCAGCATCACCTGCTCCTGCCACGTGCCAATCCAAATATTTAACCTCTTTTTTTTGAAAGAAAAACGGTACCTAACCCACCAAATTTGAGTGGGTGCCAGCCCCTGACCTGGTGAATGATTTAACTCTCTAAAAGACCTTACTTACAGTTGACGGGATGGACAGTTAAAGTATCCTTGCCCCCTCTCATAACTTCTCACTACTAGAGATTATCATCATTCGAGGAAGAATTACCTTGCTCGGATTCTTTGCTGATCACTTAACATTGTTTAAAAATCCTCCTCTGCAAATAAAGAAAATATATGTAGTTAGAAGAGCAAGGATGCTTACCGAGTCTGCCCACTGCCCTGGTAATTCATTCTCTCCAGCGTAGGGCATCCAGGCTTGGTTCCTGTATGCGGTGGGTGGTGTTGGGATAAAATAGCCCGTGAAGCCAGGTCGGTTTGCTGCTGGTATGGCAAACACTGCTGGTACGGTATTTCCTATTAAGAGGGTAGATATAATTAATAGTTGATATTTTCAGTTATAAATTAGAAGACTTTTTTTTTATTGGTGAGAATGTGATCACCATTGGTTGGATATAAGGCTCCCACAGTCTGACTAGAACGCCTCTATAATGCTGGGAAATACCAGAGAAGGCAAGATTTGCAGTTGTCTATATAATCAAGCTCTGCCTTCAGATAAAGATATACGGACTTAATCCTGAGGACTTGGTCCTTGTAACAACTGATCTTCATCAAAACTTTGAATCATTAGGAAAAAAAAGGCTTTTTTTCCCCTCTTCGATATATTCAGTATTTAGCTCTTGTTACCATGAGTTTCAGAGTAGTGGACCTTTCTTTTCAGCAGCAGGTTACAGAGCATTCAGTTTATATAGTAAAACCGTCTTAATATCTCTAAGCACAAAACCTACAAAAACGATTGAACAATACATTTAAAAGGCTGTAATCTCAACAACCCCATCATCAAACTTCAATGCTTCCATAAAAAAAACCAAGGCTCTACCTCCTCAATTCCTTTTCCAGGAACAGTCTATGACTGCAATGAATTATGCAGCTACAACTTTAAGATTTCCAAGGAAACTTGCTGACACCAAATCCATTTTATCACATCTTCATCAAGACATAGGGATGTCCAGGAAGCCTTCTACTAAAATTCCACTATCATACTCCAAGCTGGGCAGGAGAAACCAGCCTTCCTAGTATGAGGTTCAGCCTGGATATGGTTACACCTGCTCTTTCAGGTAGGGTTTATTCCTGGGCCTCATAGAGATGCATGAAACAATGTGGTTCTCGCTGCAGTTACTCAGATTATCCACAGGATATAACTAGGCGGTCTGGAAGACCAGCATCTTATCCCATGCTCCCACTATTTCCCTTGAGAGAAGCCACCATAACTCCATGTATTTGCCAATTTTAGAATAAAATACAAACAACTTGTCTGTCCAGTAAGACTTCCTTCCTCTAGTGTCTCTACATTCAAAGACTGACAGCAGCAGTGTACAACTGCTACACTATGGTAATAAAATCCTCATTCCTAAATCCTGGGCGAGAAAACTCTGCATCACCTTTATCAGGTACTAAGTAAAGCATGTGGACAGTGTGCTTTGAGTACTCAGTTATAATACATGGATGTGTATTTTACTTTTCAGATTCACAGAATATGTCAAAAATAACATCATTTATGAGAAAGCAGAAGAGCTAGTAAACCCCATAAGAACACAATAAAGTAAACTCCTTTTCACTGAGGAATGGAAGTACGGTAATGTTGCATAGATGGGCACTGGCTCTGTGCTAGCATCAATGCAGAGAAAATGCAACAGCACATCATTTGAGTATTACCACTAATTGCCCTCAGTAGATATGATACCACTGCGTAAGAGGTGCCAACAAAATGGCAAGACATGGGCATTCCCCTGAACTTCAGAGAATAATTGATAGAAATTAGTATCACATACTGGCTGCTTCAAATATCTGCCCCCCAGAATGTAATTTACAGCCCTGGCACATCCTCGCTTCTCAACACTCTGCAAGAGGGTTATGCTGCCTACTCTGATAGATACTGGGAACGCTGCATGGGCTCATACGTGGAGATAGAAAGACTCGAACAGTGACACCCAACCCCAAAGCAGTCTCCACAAAACCAGCAATTTATAGGTTCTCAACAACCTCCCATGCAGTCCTTGGCCAGAAGGGCTATGGAAGCAATCAGGGTGTGCAAAGAGAAGAAAAATATATTTTGTAGAAAACTGTCTCCAGAGCAGAAACATATCATCTGTTTCAACACTGTCTCAAAAAAATTTTCAGAAAAAAATTGGAGGAAAAATGAGGGATAGGTCATCCAAAATATGGACTAAAAACTCTTTACAGTTACACCGTGTTTTCTACTGTTAGGGACTAAGTCCTAGCTTTTGTTTTGACATTGGGTTGTAGGTGAAAAGGCACTATGTCAGGAAGGATGCTGGAGTCACCCAGCCATTGGAGAAGGTGAATTCACTGTGGAATTGCTAACGACCAGGGGGATCTATAATGTATGTCTGCACAGCAGGTACCCACAGGGTATCTCACAGGACCTCTATCCCAGCTCCTCCCGCCCCTTGGTTTGGAAGGAGGTGGGCTAAGAGGTGTGGGTGGTCTTTCTTCTTCCCAGGTCACAGACAGCACAAGGGTTGCTATTTTAAATGAGTTACCAAGGCTGGAAATAAGCATTCTTCAGACATGTACAGAGAAGAAAGTGCTGCCCCTGTAGATGACACACGGCTTCTACACCAAAATGCTCTTTCAATTTAACCACAGCAAAATAACCTACTATTCAAAATGAACACTCAATTGGCTGATGTAATAACTTATCCCAGTTTTTACTGCAACATCATTATCTTAAAGGTGATGTTGATGGGCTGCAGGAGCCAGCATTAGGCTGTTTCATGCCAAATCAGCTCCTGCACCAATGTTTCTTCATCTGTTGAGGCAATAAAGATTTTTTTTCCTATCAGAACTTTAGAAATCCCTGTTTGTATTACAGTTGCAGGTTTCTCACAGTTCTCTTTGTCTTTACCTATATTGTAGCCATTTATAGTATCTATCATATATGACAGTTTCCTCCAACTACCCCCAGAATAGTTCTGGTAACCTCCACGATGTACACAGAGGTCACTTTGTCTCTTCTGAAATGCAGCCACTCTTTAGTGGTAACACAACATACCTGTTTTTAATATAATAGCAATAAAATCTCCACATCACTGGAAATCATAAAACTGTATACCACACAGAACACATTAGTGCAGACATGAAGAAAAAGCTCTTGGTAGTATGGCATATGTTATAGCTTGAAATGCTTTAAAATGAAAGGGTGAGCATCTGCTCTTTTCAGATTCACATGTACTGTTTGCAGGAGGTATGACAAGAAGTGAGAGTAGAATGGATCTTTCAAACCTACTATATTTAATTAACTGACAACAGATTTGCATATCCACATTATTATTCTCAGTAGAAAGATGTTGAATACAATGCAGATTATTCTCTATTCTGAGGAAGCTAAGAAAGAAACTTTTCTGGAAGATTAACAGAGCAATGTTTAATAAACCTACTAATTTCAAAACTTCGAACTGACAATGTTGGGGTTTTTTTAATCTTGTAAGCTCTTTTCTATAGCTCTTCAAGAAAACATATTTTGCGAATGAGAAGCTATTTAAAATATTTTCCCAGCTAAATGTTATCCAGATACCATTAAAACAGTGTATCATCAGCTTAATCTTATGATTAAATCAATTCATTCATAAACAAAATTTACATCAAAAGGACCAGGAACTCACTAGGCTTTTAAAACTGGGACATTTAGACCCAAAACAAGTTCTGCACTTCAGCA